AAAGTTGTTCATTAGAATGCAATTTGTGGTAATTCGACGCAAAAATTGCGTCTGGTAGTAAGTGCCGGATTTTCCAAGAGATGGCACTTCAATAAGTTAAATAAGGACATTCCACGTGTTTGAGTGAGACCAGAAGATATTGTAAAAGTTCATTTAGAGATACCACTGACACTGAAGAGTCTGCTTTATCGACCTTGTACAAATTTGGCCGACCTTTCAGCATCCTCTTAATAACTAAATATATTTTTGTAATTTTGAAAACAACTCATACATCAGTTTAAAAATGTGTCACACTCTTTTTTATTACAAATGTTAATATTTATACTTTAAATAATACATACATATAAAAGTGTTTATAATGTTCTATTTATATTAATCCATACACTTTTATGTTTATTTGCTTGATTTGTTATTATTTTTTATTGTAATGCTAAAATTTAGAAAATAATGACAAAAATCTCTTTTTTTTTGTATAAGTATTTAAGATAATTTATGCAAAGTCATTGTAGAAACTAGCTGTTCTGTAAATTAAATAAATAAATTTTGTTTAGTAACAAACAAAATAATTTCTACATCGTAATGAAATTTTATAATATATCCTTAAGTAATCATTTAATAATGTATTAAATTCATATGAAATATCTATTTCTACACGAATTACACATTTTCCATGTGTAAAGATGGATTTGCATCTCCTTGAAAAGAGCACCGAGAAAGTTTGGGCCGGCCGAAAACGAAATGATGGCTAAGCACGCCAACCATTCGTTATTTATGGACGGAAGAGTAAAATGAAACCCGGAGAGAATTATGCGTGATCACGTGACTAATCTGGAGGTACAAGGGTTATAATTGTAAAAAAGCTCGTTACCGCGAAGGCAGAAACCTATATGTCAAATACTTGACGTAAACATAAGCGATTTTATGGAAAAGAACAGGATTTATTATTGTTTCAGGCGTTAACTGACGCGAGAATATATATGAAAAAGTTCGCTCTTAGTTGTGACAAAAAGTGAACTAATAGGGAAGATTTGCCAACCCGAAAATTCCTAAATGTGAATTTTCAGATTGCCGAATCTTCTTTATTGATCTAAAATCAAAATCTGGTTTTACAGTACTGGATACTAGATACACGTGTTTATGTTTATGACGCACGCAAAAAGATTTATTCACAAAAGCACATAACAAATCTTCTGTTAAGTGTTTCCTATTAAAATTCCCCAACGCGAAAAGGATATTCTTTTGTCAAGGTTTTTAATTTTAATTTATTAACTGTCTGAAATGTAATTAACGCTGAAAATGAAATCTCTCTCTCTCTCTGTCTCTCTCTCTCCCCAGAGAGAGAAATTATACCCAGAACTGTCGCGCAATGAGTACAAGAGTTGCGGGAATTAATATTAAGTAATATTACATAATTTAATTAATATTAAGTTAATTAATATTAAGTAATATTAATATTATATAATAACATTATATAATATATTATGCATATATACTTTTGACCAAAAATTTGAGATTCTAAATAAGAGATAAAATTTAAAACACTACATAAAGTTTGAGCCATGTACCTTAGTTAACATTTCTTAATTTGAAAATAAATAAAAATTATATTTAGTACGTAATTAATTTAACATTTTCGTTTAATTTAAAAAACTATAGTCATAAAATCTTTTTTCCAAAATTGAGCTAACTGGGGATTATTTTCAAAGGAGCAAAGATCTTTTCTGTCAGAAAAAACAAATTTGTAGCTAGATTACCTAGATTAGAAAAATATGATTAAATGCACGAGCTACTTTAAAAAAAGTATATAATAATTTTTAGTGAATTTTGGTAAAAAATATTATAAACTTTAAAATATTTTATATTATTTTTATTTTATTATTATGAAACAATGAGCAAAATAATAAAAATATATGTTAAATTATTCTACTTAATTAAATTTTATTTCATATAGTAGACATTTTAAATTAATGTTCATAAACTTTAATCCGGGTACCATGTAAATAACATATTCGAATAAATTTCTCTCTTCCATTTTTATAATATATATTGTTGTGCTCGCGGATGTTAGTACGCGCACTCCGACTTGACGCTCGAGACACGCACCCGTAAGGAAACACAACACACGCTTGTTTAAATAAGGAACTTTAATGTAAACACAGCTCTACAAGAAGAATAGATTAAATATCGTAAAATGCACCGGGAGCACGTCCAAACCATGATGCAAGTAGACATGGTGTGCTCTTGCGCATATTTTTTGCTACAGCCAATAAGAGCCTGGCCTTTTATTCGTTCATTTTTCGGCGGTAATTCAACTTACTTCAATTAATCAACCTTACTTACTCAATTCAACTTACTTTCACATATAGTAAATATTTGTAATTTTATAATGATCCTTTTTATCTTTATTTTACTACTTTTATTATTAAATAATATACTAAAAAGAAGGCGAGTTAGACAAATTTATATTAATTTTCAAATTAAAATATATTTATTAATAAAATTAACAATGAAACGTACATATACATACACATTAATTTTTATTTGTTAATTTAAATATTTTTTTGTTGTTTACTTTTTTATTCGTATCTTTAACATTTTGATTATATTCTTTAAGACGAATGTATGTTTTCGTTCTGTATTTTTCTGTATTCTGTACTTTTCATCTTTTGAAAATGAGAAAAATCATATAGATTTATATTTTAATTGATTACTGCGACTATTACAATCTTTTACACAACACGTCAGCATTTTCTTCCTTATATAAGTTTAAAAAAATAGTTTGAATATTTGCATTTGTATTAATGACACCACATGGTCTATATTGTTGTAAAATGGCGGAAATTAAGGCCAGCGCGTTGCTATGCGTAAACTCGTCTTACGAGCACATCATGTCTACTTGCATCATGGTCCAAACGGTTTGACAGCACCGCGATAACTTCAATCTCTCCGTTGTTAATTCCCGTAGCAACGACTTGTAGACGGGAATATTCATTACTCTCTCTCGTAACCAAAGTCAGCGGACGGCGATTTAAGATCCTCGACACTCGAAGCACGGGGCGCAACAATATTTATGCCGTATACCTATATATGGAAACTTCTCTGCTCTTTTATACATCTCCGCATTGCCATGCAGCGAACGATATTACGAGACGGCTATTTCCATCACATAATTCCGTTTCTATATAGCGGCATAATAGAATTGTACTTTCCACCGCTTTACGAGTTGCCTTCTCACGTAAACGGACCGGCATGATATTTATACGTAAGCGTTTCTGTCGATTGAGTTGCGTGACTGGAAACGCTTGACAAAACTTAGAATTTTATGCGAAGTCTCGGCTAGGAAAATTCGTGAATTTCCTGACGCCGGATATTTCCGCCGGAACTTTATAAGCGCGTGATATTTTTGTATCCCGGCGG